TTGGGCACTAATATAGCTTAGGTGATATTCTTCAAAAAGTAGTAAATTTAAAGTATGAAACCAGAATAACTACTGCTTTCCCACACCTAAACCAAATAGATTTAATGGCAAGGCATGAAAACAATCTTTGGAGATGGATTTGCTTAAACATTTTGAACTAGATTAGTTGCACTCACACAAAGAACTTCAAAAGCAAGGTCAGGTACAGTATTCTGCTGTTAGAGGCATGTTACTATAATGTGAGACCCGGACTTGAAAGGAGAAAATGTATATAAACTCGTCATAGGCACTCAACATATGAAATTCCAGTCAAGTATTCATAACTTATATGTTACTTAGCAGCAACTATTGTCCAAACCAAAATTAAACAGTGTTCACACCCCCCCCCCCCCCACCCCAACAAAAAAAACCAAAAAGAAAAAAAGATTTCTGCTCTTTTGGTCATTAGGTCTAGTTGCAAAACTATAATGGGCCTCCAACCAAAGCAGCATCATATTGCAAGTATTATGGTTGCTTTAATGTCTACGACATAATTAGTACACGTGGCTATGTTCCCGATCTTACAGAGAGGGTGTCAAATGAACTCGCTCTAACGCTTGTTTGGTGTGTTTCAAACTAAAAACTAAAGTACGTAGTAGTCAGAAGTTCTGCTGAAATAACTGTCATTCATTAATTCAAAATTAAGGAAAAAAATTACAGAAGATATATACAACAAAAATTATCTATCGAAGAAACTAAATAACAAAAAAAAGCTAGAGAGAAGGCCAACAAGAAGGAAAAAAGCAATACACTATAATATTCATGAATAAATTCATAGAAATTTAAAATGACCATTTAACTATATCAACTGATAAATTTCCAGACGAAGTAAATATAATTTGAGCACAATAACTTCTTTCATGCAAATTATATTTTTCAATTGATCCTTAGGAACAGAAGCTTTGCATTACACCAACTTGATCCATTAAGACACTGAATAGTGCTCATTGCAACTTCAGAAATCATATGTAAGCAAAAGACTGAAACAAATATTGTAAGCTGCTTTATCTATGTCAATTTGACAGTTAAGAAAGGATCTTACTTTCTTAATGCAGCATACATCTCAGCTTTCTTAAGTGGATAACCAGTAGAATGGAAGGCAATCAGGCAATCGCAAATTGGCCAACTGAAACCTCAATATATGTACAAAAGTCATAAGTACCAAATAGAATCCAACTGGTCGCATGTATATTTATAGCGAGGACCAATGTATATAAGATGGAAGGTTAAATAATTAAGAGGATATGACACTAGTATCTTCTAAGGGAACAGTGTTCTGATATGCAAATATAAATTAATAAAAAGAAGAGTTGAGCCACTCAAAGACATCATTACATGTCATTCTTTGCTTGGCATATTGTGTTACAAACTCAGTAGAGATATATGCATACAGAGAAATACGTCATGAGATTTTGATGCACAAATTCAGCCATATACAATGATACTCATGTTTATTGGGCATCCATAGGGTGAAAACTAAGTATATGACTGCTTCAAAATGATAGAAAATAGTAGCTTAAAGAATTGCATCATTGAAACTGAATTTTCGGACGTGTCAGTTGAGAAGCCAACGTAAAGTTCTTTACTTTTTAATAAAAATTGGATTGTACACCAATGTAAAAGGAGGTCTTCATCGTATTGGGAATTGAAAGGCTCCATGATTCGTGAAGCATTCAATATGTCGGTCTTGTGCCCTTTGTTAGTTAACTCATGTCATCTAGGATACTTTTTGTTTTCTTTTTTCTTCATATGGAGTGACATGCATACTCTCGGGGCCTTTCTAGTTAGTAATATTATAATTGTGGACATACTTTCTGACTGTGTACAGAAACATACTTCTCTACAGGTTCCTCAAGAATTACCCTATCACCAAAAAGTATAACCTGCAAAAGATAAACAAAGCATCAAAACCAACAGTTGAAGGGATCCTAAAAGAATGAAGCAATGCGATAAATCCATATACTGCAATATAGATGTTACTAACAGGAGAAATGGGTGCATGAGTATGCATCAGAACATGCATTGCACAGCCCATAAAGATGAAGAATTATACGTGAGAACCTGTAAGTCATTTTTCCAGTAGTGTCTTAACAAAAAAAATCACGCGAGCTTCATAATTTGCCACTCAAACTGCAGACCCACTTCATTCACCGCGAGCTTGATAATTTGCCACTCAAACTGCAGACCCACTTCATTCACCATGATCTTAGATAGAATGCATGGAAGGCAAAATGATCCTTACCTATGCTTAAGGCTTCCAAATGAATGGTCAAGATACATACATGATTTCAATCGCCAATGAGATTCATGAATCAGAACCTTTCATACACAGTGAAACGTGATATATTTCCAGAATTTTTGGTTAAATCAATCTATTAGATAAAGTGACAAACTGAGATTGCATACTAAGATGTGAGTGCATGACATAGTATATCTCTCATTTGGTTTTCACTAACCCTCCTGTCATCTGAAATAAATTATGCATGGTGTTTCCTCTTCATTCAGCAAAAATCATCGAAGTAAGATTGAGTCATGACTGAATGGCTACAATTATTTGTCTCCCTGCAAAAATCATCGAAGTAAGATTGAGTCATGACTGAATGGCTACAATTATTTGTCTCCCTAAATCTATCACGGACAGAAAGATCAATGCAATTGAGTCATGACTGAATGGCTACAATTATTTGTCTCCCTAAATCTATCACGGACAGAAAGATCAATGCACGCATGCAATTTTCGTCAACTTCATAGTAGTTAGTGATACAGTGATGCATGTTTGTGCACGCAATTTTTGTGATCTTACATGGATCATTATCTCCCTAAAATTGATTTCTCACCACAAGTTATAACATACCAAAAGACCATTGAATTCATGTAAAAATCTAAAAGCTACCTCGAATTCTCCAAATGCCTGCAATCTCTCAAGGATCTGGCCCATGGGAGCAGACAACACCTACAAACAACAGGATCACCGTCATCAACAACAACAACACAAACAGAAACTAAAACAACAGTAAAACGGAAAGGAAAAAAAAAACCATCACCTTTATATCTAATCCAACCATTTTCTAGCAAATCAAAAGGGGAAAAAAATAACATCGGGCATAAGGGAAAGAACCTCCGATCCGCATTTCACCTTCTTTTCCATGACGCAGACGCCGATCTTGATCTTCTCTCCGGCGGCCGTGGCCGCGGCGGCACCGTCGCCGGCGTTCTCCTCCGCCACAGCCATTGAGCTGAGAATCGACCTAAAGAATGGAGAATCTTGTGGGAAGATTCAACTAAGATTCAAAGGAACACATCACATCATCATATTCTTTGTTACTGCTGTCTATTATTTAATGTTTGATCCCAATCTGGGAGTTCTTTTTTCGTACCTGCGACTACAGTCACCCTAGCGAATGAAAGCTCCTGTAATTATATTTTAATAAACTACAAAAATACAGAAGAAAAGCCTGTTTTCGCGGATGTTCCCTTTTATTTATTTATTTTATAGAGGCCAGTATTTGTTTTCCTTCCTCTTTTTTGCTATTGATTTATTAATAATCAATAATTGACTAATGCGTTTTGTGGGAAGATGAGAATTCAGGGGGCTAGATTAATTTAGTTGCCTAGACCTATGTTTTTGTTTCTTAGACCCTTTTTGGATTGAGGGTAATCTACTTCTTTATTACTAAAGGAGAACAACAAAAAAGCTAAAATGAATAGTAAATTTTCTAATTTTCCATGTATTTTCTCCTCAATTCTCCACAACCATCCATCGTTAAGTTAATTCACCGTAACCGTCCAAACTCGCCATGTTTAGAATCAAAACCCACGTCTCTTTCAATAAGCTTTGATGAACAGTTAATGAAAACGCACGTTCTCTTCTCTTCGGGGTGCGCACTGCGTTCTCTATTCAAGAATAATTGCTATTCACTTCAAAAAAAAGAAGAGAAGAAAAATCCTCAAAAAAGGAATGCCTGGTGCGGTTCAATTTCATCCAATGTCGTCTCTCTCTCTCTCTCTCTCTCTCCCCCATCCCCCCCCCCCCCCTCTCGCTCAATTGCAATAATTCTGGAGAAATCATAGAAACCCAGAAGGAGATTTCAGTGGAGATGACCGTCGATGGGACCCACCATGCTATTGTGGCTTCAGGGTTGGTGGACGAGCTGGTTAGTGAGGCTCTGGTGTGGATCTCTCTCCATGGGCTTGTGGTTGGGGATAGGAGTATTCAGGTCATCTCTCTTACTTTGGTTGAAAACCAAGTAATTTTTTTTTATTTTTAAGCTTTTGGTCTGGAAAAGATATCAACTTTGTGCTTAAATAACCCTCAGCTATAGATCATTGGTAACAATGAAGCTTTTCTTTGCTGTAGTTTAGTTTAAGTGGGAGTTAAATATTTGCAAATTGTAGTACGCACTGTAGTTGTCGCTGCAGTTGCTGATTTGTGCTGTTCTGTTGATGCGAAATGAAGTTATGCCAAATTCTATAGTTTATGTGGATTTTATTTCCACAATTTTGGAATTAAGTAAGATTCTACGTGACTTTTAATTTTAGGCGAAAAGCAATTATGGACGAATTTACTAGACATATGCAAGGCGAAGTCTCAAAAAGTGTGTTATTTATATAGTATTAGATTAGATTATTGAATGTCTAATTTCCTAAAAGTAGAAAGCTGAAAGAACACTCGAATCTAATATAAAGGATTTAGAATTAGCAGACCAAAAAAATGAAATATAAATCTAGAACGTGGGTTGAAGATGAATTACAAACTATTTCTTTTTTATGTGGCAGTTGTCTTGAGCTTTATGCTTTAATTAATTTTAGCAAATATTAACATTTTTTCTACAGATAAAAAATGATACATGCAGCCTAGCATTATGTAGCAAAACAAATAGATGATAGTATGGTTCTTTATATTTATATAGAAGAGTGCTAACCTTATAAATATGTATAAGGAATACTAACCTGTTTTTTAGTTTTCCCATTTCTTTAATGATTTCTATTACTATTTTTTATTCTGTTTTCTATTTATGTAAAAATTTGAGTTGTTATGATAATTATAAAACTATCATAACCACATGTATATTGTTTTTTCCCTTTAATTATGAAACTAATGATGCTATTTGTATTTACAGTTATACGCATTTCAATTGTATAGACAAACTATCAAAGACTGAAGCGTATTGTGATTATATCATATTTTCCTTATCTCGCCTCATTTTAATCTCTAAAAAATTGGTCATGTTGGTAGCTGATATTCTGGACAATTTAGATTCAAATCAGAGTACAATAGTCAATAGATGTCAGAACAAAGTGATAGGTTTATCATTATGTCTATCAGAAAGTGAGATGCTGCTGCATGTTGACATGAAACTTGCAACTGTTTGAATGTCTAAGGTCACAACATCAACATTTTGGTCATTTCTCTGGTATTTCAGATAACGTAGGATGCCTAATTTCTTCTCTCAATAAGTTTATTGAAATGTTGTTATATAAGCTCATATAAGTTGAGTTCTATTCATAGAGCAAAGTTATTTTGGATATGGATGTTCACATGACCCTGTTGAAAAGATTGTATCTTCTCACATGTTAGGCTTTTTGGATTAGCATTAAGCCTACTTATTTAGCATTTTACCTAAGATAAACTAGATGGGCTTTGCTGGTATGTGACCCTTATGTAGTTTGGGTTTAATTCATGGCTCGGTCTTCTTTTTGCTTGTGGAAGCCTACAATGACTAAGATGAAAAGGCTGTATATTTTCAAGGTTATATTATTATTTTCTATTATTCTTCCATTTTACAGAAGATTCCAACCAAATATAGGGTTGTTTCATTTTCAGAGTGGTTTCTCCTCTTGCATTTAATGCACTTTTCTAGATTTTGTTTGGCCTGTCTTTGTCCTCCATGTACTTAACGTTTAGTGATTTTCATCGGCTGCAGGTTGCTGAAGTTCAGTTCAAGAAAAAACGTCTTGTCCTGACTGAGGAAAGAAAAGGTACAAAAAAGGTTCACATTCTTCCTTAGGTTTTCGTGATTATTATTGCTATATATTCTGCAATTTATGTTGACTTAAGGCTTGGGATAGAGGTTTCTTCTCTTCATTTTATATTCATTTAGAGGAATAGAGGTTTTTCCGTATAATTTAGTAAAAATTTGCTCAATTTTCCACACAATTGACTGACTCCACTTCTTAAACTTTAACAATTTAACTTTCCTAGCCCTAGAACCCACTCTTACCTATTTATATGGGTAGCATTTGTAAATAAAAATTTATATAAGTAATATTTGCAAAAAAATTCAAATAATAGGACTACCGAATCGAACATTCAATAAACTTTCGAACATACATTTGGTTATCGAATTGATTAGTTGATGAACTACCGAATCAAACATACCTTTGGTTAAATTCTATTTATTTATAAGTCAAACACTGAAAATTATTTGTTTAGTACTAAATGAACTATTGAATCAAACTTGATCGAATATCTGAACGAATAAAAAAAGCAAATAGCACCCCTATACTTCATATCTAAAGCAAAAAACTTTGTTTTGGTAATATGTTCAATATTTATAGAAAATCTTTTAGAACCCGTGCTTTGCACGGGTCTAAATACTAGTGGGGGTAAAGGGAAGGGAGGGTAACTTTTAACCTTGTTTGGGAAGTAAATATAGCAAGTTAATAGGGGTGAGGGGAGATGAAAGAAGGTGAGAAAATACCATGATTTCTTCCTCGGGGTGTAATGGGGGTGAAGGTAAAGAGGGGGAATACAACAAATGTAGAGAGACATATTTACCCCTATCTAAGATCAAAATTCAACGACTAAATTTTTAGAAACAAATGTGAGGGTATTTATGTAAGGGTATTTATGTCAAGTTATATACATTCTCTTCCCTTCCCTTCCCGTTATTACACTTTCCAAACGGGGTGAATAACTTCCCCTTAATTCACCTTACTAGTTTCCCAAACAAGTTTTAGAAATTCTCTTCCCTTCCCTTTACTTAACTTCCCCTAGGTTCCCCTAACTTTCCTTCACCCCCTCCAAATCCAAACAAGCACTTAGGGCTGTTTGATTTATTTCCTCCGGAAAATAAAATGAAAATTATGCCGAACTGTTAGTTCTAGAAATTCCTCATATCATTAAAAGTTGTAAAAACATTAATAGCGGCAGCTCCTTTTGACCTTTTCTCATGTGTTTTAGCCCTTAAATTGGAGAGAGGGTTGCTATGAGGACCCAAAAATGGGACAGATCCATAGGACGGATGACGTAGCGAATACAGCTAAAAAATATTAATTAGCTA